ACATGCTTCATGACCTAGCTGTGGTCGATCTTAGTGTAGCTCCCATATGCAGATGAGAATGCATATTCTGGTCCTGTTGGGTGGAGTGTTCTGTAGAGCTCTGTTAAGACCGGTTGGTTAAGTGTCAAGTTTAAGTGCAGAATAATCCCTTCTCTTTTTTGCCTTCCATTTGCCTGGTAGATCTTTCTCTATATTTTACTTTAAGCTTATGAGTAATCCTACTGGTGAGATGGATCTCTTGAAGACAGCAGACAGTTGGTTCTTGCTTCTTTATCCATCTTGGCACCCTATGCCTTTTGAGTGAGGCATTTAGATCATTTACATTCAGGGTCAATATTGATATTTGAAGATTCGATCCCCTCATCATGCTGTTACCCGGCTGTTATGTAGACTTGATCACATAGTTGCTTTATAATGTCAGTGGGGTACATGCTTATGTGTGTTTTTGTAGTGGCAAGTAGAATTCTTTCGTTTCCATGTTTAGCACTTCCTTTGGGATCTCTTGTAAGGCAGGTCTCATGGTATCAAAGTCCTTTAGAACTTGCTTGTCTGAAAAGGATTTAATTTCTCTTGTACTTATGAAGCTTAATTTGGCAGGATATAAAATTCTTGGTTAGAACTTATTTAAGGATATTGAAAATAGGTCCCCAGTCACTTCTGGCCTGTAAGGTTTTTGCTGAAAGGTTCACTGTTAGCTTGAAGAGGTTTCCTTTGTAAGTGACCTACTCTTTCTAGTTGTCTTTAAGACTTTTTCTTTCACATTTACCTCAGAGAACCTGATGACTTTGTGTCTTGCTTAGCTTCTCACTGGGGTTCTCTGAATTTCTTCAATTTGAATGTCAGTCTCTCTAGTGAGATTGGAAAAATTTTTGTGGACTATATCTTCAAATATGTTTTCAGTATTACCCTCTCTCATTCATTTTCAGGAATGTCAATGAGCTATAGGTTTGGTCTTTTTAAACAATCCCATATTTATCAGAGGTTTTGTTCATTTTTTACATTATGTTTTCTTTATTTTTCTATGTGTATTGCTTTGAAGGAGCAGTCTTTAACTGCTGAGATTCTTTCCTCAGCTTGGTCTATTTTGTAGTTAATGCTTCCAGTTGTATTTTGAAATTCCTGTAGTGAATTTTTCACATCCAGAAGTTCAGTTTGGTTCTTTCTTTAAATGGTTGTTTCATCTTTGAACTCCCAGATCAGTTTACTGTTTTCCCTGGAGTAGGTTTCAATCTTCTCTTGTGTCTCAGTGAACTTCCTTGTCATCTGGATTCTTAATTCTGTCTGACATTTCAGCCATTTATTTCAATCTGGTTAAGAACCATTGCTGGGGAGCTAGTGTGATTGTTTGGAGATAAGAAAACACTGTGGCTGTTAGAGTTCCCAGAATTCTTGCACTGGTTCTTTATTTTTTATGATCTTTATTGACCTTGATTTTTTCACTGTGATGCAGGTTAGGAAAGTTAAATGACTTCGTTTCTGGATAGTTTTGGAGGGCCCAGACTCAGCTTCACACTCCTGGCTGCATGCTCTAACCCTGGGTGGCTGGGACTGGGTCCATGGCTTTGTCCTCTGGTCTCTCAAGGTCAAGCCACCATTGGACTGTTGGAGCCACATGCTCTCAGGCTGCTGGCAACAGTACTCCATTGGGGGTGCAGTGTGCATAAGTGCTCTGATGCAGGTGCCACAGGTAGGAGGTGCTGCTGCAGGGGTGCAAATGCACTTCAGAGGGGCAATGGCAAGTTGAAGGTGAACACTTTCCAGCAGGAAGCTGTCAGCAAAAGTGCTGAGGTGGGGCAGTGATGGGGGCTCCAGTAAAAGTCACACTATTGTCATAGTCACTGGCAAAAGCACTCTGGCAGGATATCTGAGGCTGTGCTGCATTCAGGCATGGCCAAGACCAGACTCTGTGAGGGGCCACTGGACAGCAGGATATACAGATCAGACCTGTCCCAGCAGGACTGGGAAAGACAGTCCTGTTCCCCACAGGTCCAACAGCTGACACAGGTCACAGCCACCCCTTCCTTAGGAGCCATTAAGGGCTTGAGATGCATCTCAGCACTCAGCAACCTCATGTGGGGTTTCCAGCTCTCTCCTGCTTCAGTCCTGATGTCTGAGTCATCTCTCTAACCTCTCTCAGATGGTCTGTGTGGATGCTGGTTTATGTAATCGCTCTCTCTAACCATCTCTCCACAGATGGTCTGTGTGGATGCTGATTTACTTAACATTCTGGCCTGTCTCAGTCGGAGAGGTTCTTCCTGGCTACATCTAGTCAGCCATCTTGTCGTGTTTCTCCAAGTTGACATCTGAATTTTTAAAATTCTGTATTTATACTATGTATTGATTTACTGAGTTTTGTAAAGACTTCAGTGAGGTCACTTATTTACAACTATTTCCCAGTTTCATTTTTATAACTTTAGCTTCAGACTTACATTTTCAACTATCTTTAAAGTTTCCTTAAAACTAATATTGACTGAAATTAAGTGTATTTTTCTCTTCATAATAATAATTCCCAAACCTGAATCCCTACTACTATTATTAACTGTACCACTTGTTTTCCAACCAGCCAAATTAATTTATTTTTTATCATATTTAAGTTCCAGGATACATGTGCAGAACACGCAGATTCGTTACATAGGTATACTCATGCCACAGTGGTTTGCTGCACCCATCAACCCATCATCTAAATTAGGTATTTCTCTTAATGCTATCCATCCTCTAACCCCCAACCCCCTGACAGGCCCTGGTGTGTGATGTTCCCCTCCCTGTATCCATGTGTTCTTATTGTTTGACTCCCATTTGTGAGTGAGAGCATGTGGTGTTTAGTTTTCTTTTCCTACATTAATTTGCTAAGAATGATGGTTTTCAGCTTCATCCATGTCCCTGCAAAGGACAGGAACTCATCCTTTTTCATACCTGCATAGTATTCCATGGTGTATATGTGCCACATTTTCTTTGTCCAGTCTATCATTGATGGGCATTTGGGTTGGTTCCACATCTTTGCTATTGTTACCTGTGCTGCAATAAACATAATTGTGCATGTGTCTGTAAGGTAGAATGATTTATAATCCTTTGGGTATATATCCAATAATGGGATTGCTTTGTCAAATGATATTCCTGGTTTTAGATCCTTGAGGAATCGCCAGTGTCTTCCACAATGATTGAACTAATTTACACTCCCACCAACAGTGTAAAAGCATTCCTATTTCTCTACATCCTCTCCAGCATCTATTGTTTCCTGACTTTTTAATGATCACCATTCTAACTGGCATGAGATGGTATCTCATTGTGGTTTTGATTTACATTTCTCCAATGACCAGTGATGATAAACTTTCTTTCATATCTTTGTTGGCTGCATAAATGTCTTCTTTTGAGAAGTGTCTGTTCATATCCTTCACCTACTTTTTGATAGGGTTTGTTGTTTTTTTTTTTCTATATTTCTTTAAGTTCCTTTTAGATTCTGGATATTAGCCCTTTGTGAGATGGATAGATTGCAAAAATTTTCTCCCAGTCTGAAGGTTACCTGTTCACTCTGATGATAGTTTCTTTTGCTGTGCAAAAGTACTTCAGTTTAATTAGATCCCATTTGTCAATTTTGACTTTTGTTGCCATTGCTTTTGGTGTCTTAGTCATGAAGTCTTTGCCCATGCCTATGTCCTGAATGGTATTGCCTAGGTTTTCTTCTAGGGTATTTATGGTTTTAAGTCTTACACTTAAGTCTTTAATCCATCTTGAGTTGCTTTTTGTATAAGGTATAAAGAAGGGGTACATTTTCAGTTTTCTGCATATAGCTAGACAGTTTTCCCAACATCCAACGCTATTTAATAAATAGGAAATCCTTTTCCTACTGCTTGTTTTTATCAGGTTTGGTTGTGTGGCATTATTTCTGATGCCTCTGTTCTGTTCCATTGGTCTATGTATCTGTTGTGGTACCAGTACCATGCTGTTTTTGTTACTGTAGCCTTGTAGTACAGTTTCAAGTCAGGTAACATGATACCTCCAATTTTGTTCTTTTTGCTTAGGATTGTCTTGGCTATATGGGCTCTTTTTTGGTTCCATATGAAATTTAAAGTAGGTTTTTTTTTCTAATTCTGACAAATGGTAGCTTGATGGGGATGACATTGAATCTATAAATTACTTTGGGAAGTATGCACATTTTCACGATATTAATTCTTCCTATCCATGAGCATGGAATGTTTTTCCATTTGTTTGTGTCCTCTCTTATTTCCTTGAGCAGTGGTTTGTAGTTCTCCTTGGAGCAGTCCTTCACATCCCTTGTAAGTTATATTCCTAGGTATTTTATTCTCTTTGTAGCAATTGTGAATGGGAGTTCACTCATGATTTGGTTCTTTTTCTATTATTGGTGTATAGGAATGCTTGTGATTTTTGCACATTGATTTTGTATCCTGAGACTGCTGTAGTTGCTTGTCAGCTTAAGGAGATTTTGGGCTGAGACGATGTTGTTTTCTAAATATATGATCATGTCATCTGCAGAGATAATTTGACTTCCTCTCTTCCTATTTGAATTCCCTTTGTTTCTTTCTTTTACCTGATTGCCCTGGCCAGAATTTCCAATAGTATGTTGAATAGGAGTGGCGAGAGAGGGCATCCTTGTCTTGTGCCAGTTTTCAAAGGGAATGCTTCCAGCTTTTACCCATTCAGCATGATATTGGCTGTGGGTTTGTATGAAAAGCTCATAATTTTGAGATATGTTCCATCAATAGCTAGGTTATTGAGAGTTTTTAGCATGGAAGAGTGTTGAATTTTATCAAAGGTCTTTTCTGCATCTATTTAGAGAATCATCTGGATTTTGTCATTGGTTCTGTTTATGTGATGGATTACGTTTATTGATTTTCATTTGTTGAGCCAGCCTTGCACCCCCAGGATGAAGCAAACTTGATCATGGTGGATAAGCTTTTTGATGTGCTGCTGGATTCTGTTTGCCAGTATTTTATTGAGGATTTTTGTATTGATGTACATCAGGGATACTGGCCTGAAACTTTTGTTGTTGTTGATGTGTCTCTACCAGGTTTTGGTATCAGGATGATGCTGGCCTCATAAAGTACATTAGGGAAGAATCCCTCTTTTTCAATTGTTTGGAGTAGTTTCAGAAGGAATGGTACCACTTCCTCTTTGTGTCTCTGGTAGAATTCGGCTGTGAATCTGTCTGGTCCTGGGCTTTCTTTGGTTTGTAGGCTATTACTTATTGCCTCAATTTCAGAGCTTGTTATTGGTGTATTCAGGAATTTGACTTCTTCCTGATTTAGTCTTCGGAGGCTGTATGTATCCAGGAATTTATCCATTTCTTCTAAATTTTCTAGTTTATTTCCATAGAGGTATTTATAGTATTCTCTGATGATAGTTTGTATTTGTGTGGGATCAGTGGTGATATCCTGTTTATCATTTTTTATTGTGTCTATTTGAGTCTCCTCTCTTTTCTTCTTCATTAGTCTGGCTAGCAGTCTTTCTCTTTTATTAGTCTTTTCAGGAAACCAGCCCCTGCATTCACTAATTTTTTTTTTTTTGAAACGTCTTTCATGCCCCTATCTCCTTCAGTTCTACTCTAATAGTTATTTTTTGTCTTCTGCTAGCTTTTCAATTTGTTTGCTCTTGCTTCTCTAGTTCTTTTAATTGTGATGTTAGGATGTCGATTTTAGATCTTTCCCACTTTCATCTGTAGGCATTTAGTGTTATAAATGTCCCTTTAAACACTGCTTTAGCTATTTCTCAGAGATTCTGATATGTTGTGTCTTTGTTCTCATTGGTTTTAAAGAACTTACTGTGCCTTAATATTGTTATTTACCCCATAGTCATTCAGGAACAGGTTGTTCAGTCACCGTGTAGTTATGTGATTTTGAATGAGTTTCTTAATCCTCAGTTCCCATTTGACTGTACTGTGGTCTGAGAGACTATTTGTTATGATTTCCATTCTTTTGCATTTGCTGATGAATGTTTTACTTCCAATTATGTGGTCTATTTTAGAATAAGTGCAATGTGGTGCTGAGAAGAAGGTATATTCTGTTCATTTGGGATGGAGAGTTCTGTAGATATCTGCTAGGCCTGCTTGGTCCAGAGCTGAGTTCAAGTCCTGGATATCCTTGTTAATTTTCTGTCTTGTTGATTTGTCTAATGTTGACAGTGGGTGTTAAAGTTTCCCACTATTATTATGTGGGAGTCTTAGTTTTTTTGTAGGTCTCTAAAAACTTGCTTTATGAATTCTGGGTGCTCCTGTATTGGGTGCATATATATTTAGGATAGTTAGCTCTTCTTGTTGCATTGATCCCTTTACCGTAATGTATTGTCCTTCTTTGTCTCTTTTGATCTTTGCTCATTTAAAGTCTGTTTTATTGGAGAGTGGGATTGCAACCCCTGGTTTCTTTTGCTTTCCATTTGCTTGGTAAATATTCCACCATCCCTTTATTTTGAGTCTGTGTGTGTCTTTGCATGTGTGATAGGTCTCCCAAATACAGCATACCAGTGGGTCTTGACTCTATCCAATTTGCCAGTCTGTGTGTTTTACTTGGGATATTTAGCCCATTTACATTTAAAGTTCATATTGTTATGTGTGAATTTGACCCTGTCATTATGATGCTTGCTGGTTATTTTGCCCGTTAGTTGATGCAGTTTCTTCATAGTTGATGGTCTTTACAATTTGATATGTTTTTGCAGTGGCTGGTACCAGTTTTACCTTTCCATATTTAGTGCTTCCTTCAGGAGCTTTTGTAAGGCAAGCCAGGTGGTGACAAAATCTCTCAGCATTTGCTTGTCTGTAAAAGATTTTATTTCTCCTTCACTTATAAAGCTTAGTTTGGCTAGATATGAAATTCTGGGTTGAAAATTCTTTTCTATAAGAATGTTGAATATTGACCCCTACTCTCTTCTGGCTTATAGGGTTTCTACCAAGAGGTCTACTTTAGTCTGATGGACTTTCCTTTGTGGATAACCCAACCTTTCTCTCTGGCTGCCCTTAACATTTTTTTTTTCATTTCAATCTTGGTGGATCTGAAAATTATGTGTGTTGGGGTTGCTCTTCTCGAGGAGTATCGTGGTGGTGTTATCTGTATTTCTCTATAACTTGAACATTGGCCTGTCTTGCTAGGTTGGGAAAGTTCTGGATATATCCTGAAGAGTGTTTTCCAACTTGATTTCATTTTCCTCATCACTTTCAGGTACAGCAATCAAACATAGGTTTGGTCTTTTCACATAGTCCCATATTTCTTGGAGGCTTTGTTGCTTTTCATTTTTTTTTCTCTAATCTTGTCTTCACGCTTTATTTTATTAAGTTGATCTTCAGTCTCTGTTATCCTTTCTTCCACTTGATCAATTTGGCTATGGATACTTGTGTATGCTTCACGAAGTTCTCATGCTATGTTTTTTAGCTCCATCTGGTCATTTATGTTCTTCTCTAAACTGATTATTCTAGTTAACAATTCATCTAACCTTTTTTCTAGCTTCCTTGCATTGGGTTAGAGCATACGCCTTTAGCTCAGAGGAGTGTGTTATTACCCACCTTCTGAAGCCTGCTTCTGTGAATTTGTCAAACCCATTATTTGTCCAGTTTTGTTCCCTTGCTCTCAAGGAGTTATGATCCTTTGGAGGAGAAGAGGCATTCTGGTTTCTGTAATTTTCATTCTTTTTGCACTGTTTTTTTCTCATCTTCGTGGATTTATCTACCCTTAGTCTTTGATGTTGATTACCTTTGGATGGAGTTTCTGTGTCGATGTCCTTTTTGTCAATAATGCTATTGCTTTCTGTTTGGTAGTTTTCCTTCTAACAGTCAGGCCCCTCTGCTGTAGGTCTGCTGGCGTTTGCTGGAGGTCCACTCCAGACTCCGTTTGCCTGCATTTCACCAGCAGAGGCTGCAGAACAGCAAAGATTGCTGCTTGTTTCTTACTCTAGAAGCTTCATCCCAGAGGGGCACCTGCCAGATGCCAGCCAGAGCTCTCCTCTATGACGTGTCTGTTGATTCTTGCTGGGAGGTGTCTTACCAGCCAGGAGGCTTGGGGGTCATGGACCCCCTTCAGGAGGCAGTCTGGCCCTTAGCAGAGCTTGAGCACTTTTCTGGGAGATTCGCTGCTGTCTTCAGAGCTGGCTGGCAGGAACATATAAGTCTACTGAAGCTGTGCCCACAGCTGCCCCTTCCTCCAAATGCTCTGATCAAGGGAGATGGGAGCTTTCTATATAAGCTTCTCACTAGGGCTGCTGCCTTTCTTTCAGAGATGCCCTGCCCCAAGAGGAGGAATCTAGAGAGGTAGTCTGGCCATAGGGGATTTGGGGAGCTGAGGGTGGGCTCCACCCAGTTCAAACTTCCTGGTGGCTTTGTTTACACTATGAGGGGAAAACCATATACTCAAGCCTCACTAATGGCAGACTCCTCTCCCCCTACCAAGTTCGAGTGTCCCAGGTCTACTTCAGACTGCTCTGCTTGCTGGGCTCCACTGGGTGGATCCACTTAGCTAGACCACTTGGCTTTCTGGCTTCAGCCCCCTTTCCAGGGGAGTAAAGAGTTCTGTCTCGTTGGCACTCTAGGAGCCACTGGGGTTTAAAAAAAACTCCTGCAACTTACTCTATTTCTGCCCAAATGGCCACCCAGTTTTCTGCTTGAAACCCAGAGGGAATCTCCTGGTCTGCAGATTGTGAAGACCATGGGAAAAGCATAGTATCTGGGCCAGAGTGCACCATTCCTCATGACATGGTCCCTCACTACACAGTCTCTCACAGCTTCCCTTGGCTAGGGGAGGGAATTCTCTGACCCCTTGTGCTTCCCTAGTGAGGCGACATCCCACCCTGCTTTTACTTGCCTTCCATCGGCTACACCCACTGTCTAACCAGTCTCAATTAGATGAACTGGGTATCTCAGTTGGTAACGCAGAAATCACCCACCTTCTGCGTTGCTCTCACTAGGAGCTGCAGACCAGAGCTGCTCCTATTCAGTCATCTTGCCAGCTACTCTACTATACAGTTTTTTACATATGAGAAAATCAAATCAATTACTCACTAGATATCACAAAGCAATTTCCCCTCAAAGCTGGGTCTTCATATTCCCAACACTGCACTCTCTCCAGGAAGTAACATCACTTATTTAGAGAGAGAGACATCCTGGGAAGACAGGATGAGGGTGATATTTCTAAAGTCAGACCCAATTTAAATTTTTTAGTGTTATCTTTGGCTGCTTCCACTTTTTCCTATCCCTTATCCCTACCCTGGTAGACAACATTATACACATTTTACCCATTTCTTCACTTTCTGTTACCTCATCCATTGCTCTAACTGCATCACTCACTATCTCTTCCTAAAATATTGTAGTTAGTTCCTCATTGGTTTCCTTGTCTCTGGTATATCCCTATTCCAGTTAGTCTTATACATGTGAAGTTAAGATACATCAACCTAGGATTTACTCCCAGCTTCATCTTATTCTGGGTGTTTCCTTGGGATATTTACTCGAACTCTTTAACCTATTTCTTTATCTTGAAAATAACTACCACATGGGTTGTTATTATATTTCACTAAGATGATGTATTGTTCTAGTCTGTACTTTCATTTCATGGTCCATAAACCATTCAAGCTAGCTTATGTAAAGGGGAGATTCTTCTAAGCATGCATTGGAATCTCATGAATACCAAAATACAAAAACCAAAGAGTAGAAATATAAAATGTGATCAGAATCTGAGACTAAACTCCTTGCAAAGCTGAGTAATCTACTTCTCTATTTGCATCTCTGATTCTTTTAGTATATCTGCACCAGCTTCTTCCTTCTAATGGCAGTCTTCTTTTATTATCCTATAGAATTATGTGTAGCTCCTCTTGTCAAGTTACCACCTCAAATCTAAATGTGCACATCCTTTTGCTACCACCAACTAGTTCATATTTCCAAGAAAGCAATCCAATTGGCATAACTTATATTTTGATTGGCTACCAAGTTATAGTCCCTGGCACAGATAGTTCATGGGCCACCCCTGGCCAGCTTCTAAGGCTAATAAAGGGAGCAGCAGTCATGGACAAGAAAGATTCCATTAGAAGTGAGTATGGACAAGTGTTAATGATTGGCATCTATGGAAATTTTATGTAAAACATTTAGCACAGTGCTCAATGAGTTGTAGTTATTATGTTTATATAACAAAAGAAACTAACCAAAGTTGTTTTGATGTACGCTTTTCCTCTATCTCTTTCTTAGATACACATACATACACATACACACACACACACACACACACATGAAAATTCACAAAATAAAAAATGTGTATTTAGCCACATGGGCTTGAAGTCATCTAATATGAGTTAAAGCAATAAATCTGTTATTTAAAATATATGTGATCTTGGACAAATTATATTTTTCCTAACCTTTAGTTTCTTTATTTGTATATGGGAATGATATTCCGTCAGTTAAGAATCTTATGGTTTCAAAGGGCTAATCAGGCTTATGCTGAAAAGACTACACTGGGGCTATAGGTAGAACTGATTTCAGGTAAAATTTTGTCAAGAGGCTAAAATGATGTAAAGTAGGCCTGAATTTCCCCTTTGTGTCTGCATCACTTGATTCTGCTTTTATATCATCCTAAAACCTCCACATACCCCGCCTTATTTGTCGCATTCTTAGCCATGCTTTCCCCTTCATGGGTTTGAATAGTCAAAGCAACTCCTCATATCTTCCCAGATTCTAATCCAGTAGACAAGAATGTTCCCCTTAGTCCCAGAGGTCTCAACAAAAATCTCTTAGCTTCTCATTACTGATTATTCTATTATGTGCCCATTTCTGGATCAATTACTGTAGCTGGGAAATTAAAGGCTCTTATTGGCCAGTGCTGAGTCATGTGCCACTTACAAAGATAGAGGCAGCACAGCTAGAGTCACATGGAATTAGGGGTACAGGAAGAGGTGTGTTCATCACAGTGGTAATATCTTTACATGATTTTCAGAAGGATTAAATCAGTTTTTACAGGTATAAAAAGTCCTCAAGTTCTATAGTAAAATCTGTATTTCAAGTCTTTTCCTCCATTACTTCCCCAGACAGATTCCATATTCTCTACAATCTATTCTGATGGATCTTTGACTATACTCCCCCTTTTTCTTATGGGTGTCATGTTGCTTTTGTGATTCCATTGGACTAAACACCTTCTACTATTTCTGCTGATGGAATTGTTGTGCTTCATTTTCCATCTCAAACACCTTCACCTCCTGAATTTTTTTAAACTACCTTAGATCCTCTCCAAAATCCCACAAAAATATGGTTGCTAATTCCTTTCAAAGATGGTTCACCAATCTTCATTTCTAGTTCCTAGCATCAGACATACATTTTAAAAGCCATTTTTCTGGCTATCCCAGTGAACTTCCTATGCTACTTACCACATTCTGCCTTATATTAATCTTCTGCATCAGTCTATATCATATACTCTGAAGACTCACAATAAGTATTTGCTTTATTGAATTAAACCTAATTTCAACTAAATACACATTATTTATGAAATTTTAAACCCCTATATTTTACTCAAGACAAAATTTTAACCTTACTTTAACAAGGGATTTTATAAACTGTTGACTCTGGTATATCTTAGATATTTAGTACTGATCTAGTTAGCCAAACATATAGCCAATTTTTAATAATCCACAATACAGATTTAAGTCATATCATTAAGACCTATTTTGCCCAGGCATGCTTCCTGTACATTAGGATTTTGTATTTGACTTTCTGTTAATGAATCCATATTTATTGAATGCTTACTATATTATATTCTAAGCATTTTTCAAGGCACTGAGAAAGTATTTATTCTCCTTCCAGCAGACCTGGAATGAATTCAGTCAGTGAAGATGTAAATTAAAAATGTAATGTTAAATAATGGCAAGTCTAGTTTTTAGTTGCTAGAATGTTTGTTTGTTTATGTGTTTTTGAAACCTCTGTATTGTAAGATTAGTGTTGAAAAGAAATTATTAGGGACAGACTTCAAATAGAGAGAAAAAACATACTACTTTCTTCCCAGACAGTGCTGTTTCAGCTTCTTTAACTTTCTTATTATGAGTAGCCAGGTTCCTTTAGTTTGCTCGAAAAATCAAGAAGCATTCCTAAAAACTGTTCCCAAACAATGGTGAGTTTTACTAGGTATTAGCAATATTTATGGAAAATTAAACTTCAATTCAGTTTATTCTATTAGGTGCTTACAAAAGTGAATAGAATTCTTTAGATAGTTATTATCATCACTAGTTTAAAATAACACACCAAACAGAAGATGTATGTATAATCACAAATATACATATATATAATTCAATTTACCATGTGCTTTATTTTTTTTTTTTTGAAATTCAGCTTTTAGTTAAGGTTGATGTATTATCTGTGACTATGGGAAAGCTGAAAATTTTTAGTTCAATAATAGAAAGATTCCAACAGTTTCAGAACAGTTACATCATTTAGTATATCTGGCAAATATTCTACTAAAATAGGGAAAATCAAGAGTTTACTTATTATTTAAATCGCCAATTTTACCTTAGGTAAATATACTTTACATTATTAAACTCTCAAAGCTGAATAATTCCACTATAGTTGGTCACATTTATATCGTTCATTCTCCAGACAGCCTCTCTGTGCCAGGCATTTTCCATTGTCCTTACATCTCCAGTGCCAGCCCTGCCTCCTGCCCCGACTTTTCAGATTGCCTCATCCTTTTTTGAAAAGGCTCCTCTCAACCACCAAACTTTTGTTTCCCACACATTTCTCCAGCCTGTCTTTTGTCTCAGGACAGGATGCCTAGTTCTTCTTAAGGCTAATCACCCACCTCCTTTCCACATCTTCAGGAATTTTCCCTTCTTCTTTTGCAAAGTTCTCCCCGTATCCTCTCACTTTTTCCTTTCTGCCTCACTCCTGCTTATTTCTTCCTCGATCTCGAAGATTTTTTTTATCCTTGTTTCACCTGTGTGCTTCCTTGAAAACTCTGCATTCCACTATTGAACCTACTTCTGAAGAATAGTCCCAAATCATTGTTCACAACTCCTGATCATTTCTTGGGATTTCTAGACTATTAACTTTTCAACCTTACTGAAATTGTTCTTTTAAAAGTCAACAATTGGCCAGGAGTGGTGGCTCACGCCTATAATCCCAGCACTTTGGGAGGCCAAGGTGGGTGGATCACCTGAGGTCAGGAGTTCGAGACCAGCCTGGCCAAAATGGTGAAACCCTTTGGTTTTGTCTCTGCTAAAAATACAAAAATTAGCCAGGCATGGTAGTGGGCACCTGTAATCCCAGCTACTCAGGAGGCTGAGGCAGGAGAATAACTTGAACCTGGGAGTCAGAGGTTGCAGTGAGCTGAGATCATGCCATTGCACTCCAGCCTGGGCATCAAGAGTGAAATTCCATCTCAAAAAAAAAACGTCAACAGTCACCACATTCACTGCGTTTTCTCAGTCCTCATATTCCCTTAAGAAACTTGATTCTTTTTCTTATCACCGTTGCGTCTTTAAGTTTACAGTGTAGGAATCTCAGTTGCTTGTCTGAAATACGCTTTTTACTCTTTAATAGCAGAAATAAACAGTTGAAAACTTAACTATACAATATAATGTTAGATAATGACAAGTCTGATTGTTTTTAATTGTCAGGTTTTCTTTTATTCTTTTAGTAATCTCTGTGTTGCAGGCTAAAGACTTCAAATAAAGTTGGGGGAAAAGTCATAATTTACCACTTCTTTCTCAGTGATCTGAGAAAATGCCTTTTCAGGCTCTTAAATTTTTTATTCTTTGTAAGTAAGTGGGAAAAAAGCTAAGTGCACAACAAAGTGTCACACACACACACACACACACACACACACACACACACTTACTTTTGCAGGAAAAAACCTGGGAATGATAAGCCAGAAAATAATTAAGTTGCTTATTTACAATGAACAGCAGGGTAGAGAAGAGCTGGAAGTGATAGGTAGACAATGATACCTCTGAATTTATCTTTTGAGTTTTGACTTTTAAAAATGTATTCCTTTTCTAAATATTTTTCAAATTAAATTAACAAGCATGAAAAGGAAAGAGAAACTAAAACTCAATGTAAATAGAAACAAATAAACCCAATGTTGTTTCAAATGAATAACATTACACTGCTAGGAGGTAAAATAAAAAATTTGATTATATTATTCCACAAGGAGTGTGGAAAGAACAGTAAACAAATCTTGAACTTTTCTCAGTAGGCCTTGTCTTGTTTGTTTGTTCGTTCGTTTGTTTGGTTGTACTATAGATGTACTAATAATAAAACTATTTTATGTATATGGTAAAGTTTAGGAAATGAATAATACATGGGTTGATGTTGTAGGGAGCCAAGGTTCTCACTGTAGAAGAAAGGAGATAAAAATACGAAATGAGGGAAAACAAGGAAAAACTTTTGGGAATGGATTGGTATGTGTGGATGGATTGGATTTGAATGAACTTAATGATTTCTTATACACTTCCTACTTCTGACTGCTGAAGGGACTTAAAAGCAAGTCATAAATGGCAGTGAGTACATTTGATACCCAGATTTTGGTTTCCAACACCATTTCCCTCTGAAAGGAACCACGGTAATTTGAAGAAATGACTGAATCCCAAGACCAGACCACCTGTTGTATAAAAAAAGAAGGTGTGGTGGGAGGGGGCAGAAGAGTGCTCCTGAAAATGATGGTGGCACATCAAGACAACATAGAATGCATCTTGAAAGGGCTTCTTCTCTACTGTGAGATCCAGAATCATTTTAGTTTCAGATAATTGAGGACACCCAACTCAAGAAGAAAAAGATAATGCAATTTTAAATGGGCAAAGCATTTGAATAAACATTTCTTCAGAAAAGATATGCAAATGGCCAATAAGCACATGAAAAATGCTCAGCATCATTAGCTATCAGAGAAATGCAAATCAAAATCATAATGAGATATTCTTTTCTCCCAGTAGGATGACTATAATTTTTTTTTTAAGTAAGGGAGGAACCAACGAGTATTAATAAGGATATGGACAAATTGGAAAGTTCATATGTTACTGATGGCATTGCAACATAGTACAACCGCTTTGAAAAAATGCTTAGCAGTTCCTCAAAAACTTCATATGTTAAAGTTTATCATATGACCCAGCAATTACACTCATAGATGTATACCAAGATAATTACAGTTACCATATGACCCAGCAATTACACTCGTAGATATATACCAAGATAATTGAAGGAAAGTGTTTTTAAAAAAAACCTATACACAAATATTCATAGCAGCATCATTCATAATAAACAAAAACTAGAAACAACCCAAACAAAGCAGCCTAAACAAAGTGGTATATTCTCACAGTGAAATATTATTCAGCCATGAAAAGGAATAAAGTACTGATTTATGCTACAACATGAATGAAGGTTTAAAACATTAGTGAAAGAAGTCAAAATACAAAAGACCATGAATTATATGATTCCATCTATATGGAATGTCCAAAATAGGCAGATCCAAATCTGTGGAGAAAGACAGAAAATAAGTATTTGCCAGGCAATACAGTGAAATGAGAAGTGGTACTGACTGCAAATGGTATTTCTGCTAACAGGTAGTGTTTTTTTAAAAGCGTGATGGCAACTTTCTGGAAGTAGATAATGGTGACGGTTTTACAACATTGTGATTTTACTAAAAATCACTGAATTATTACACACTTTAAAATGGCGAGTTTTATGTAATGTGAATTTTATCTTGATAAAAAGTGCAAAAAACAGTCACTGAAACCAGTAAAAAAAAAATTTTTTTCAACCATCAAGTAGAAAAATAGGAATCTATGAATCCATGAGGATCTGAATGAATGAATGAATGAATGAATGCATGCATGCTTAGAAGAGAAGGCAAGTCTCCTTATAGTAAGATGACAATAAATGGGAAGAGAGTAGAGGAGTTAGAAAATCACCGTTGTCATAGTAAAGATTGGTTTGGGCAAAAATGATCTCAATAGATACTAAATCTAGGGGGAATGTTGGGTGAAGAACAGTATATTGGCATGATCACAAACTGTCTCCCCATTAATTGTTTATTAGTTGAACACTGATCTGTAATAGAGAAACTGTAAAACACCTTGACTGACCAGAATTAGCATCCACAATGAGGAGCATATGGACACCGTATGTCTCTTAACAGTGCCCTCAGAAGAACACACAATCATTGGTGTGTTCTACCTAGGGCTGCATAACCTGACTCTAATCATAAGAGAACATGAGACAAACTAAATTAAGGAATATTTTATTAGAAAAACGACTGTCTTGTATTCTTCAATAATGTCCATGTTGTGAAATAAAAAGAAAGGCTTAGGAGTCTACAGAGAAATCAAAACTAAATGGCAATACATGCTCCTGGACTGGATCCTAGAACAAAGGAAAAAATAATGCTAAAAAGGACATGATTGGGAAACTTGACACAATAAAATATGGATGGTATAGTAAAGTATTGCATCACTATGAAATTTTCTGAATTTGAAATACTATAGTTACTTAAAAGATTATTCTTATTCCTATGAAACACAAACTAAAGTATTAAGGAATAAAGGGCCATAATATATGTAACCTAGTCTCCAATAATTGAGGAAAAAATTAATATGTATTTATGCAAAGGGAGAGAGAATAATAAAACATGTGGCAAAATGTTAAGAACTGGTGAATTTAGGTAGAAAGATACGAGTTTCTTATATTGTTCTTTAACTTTTCTGTAAGTTAAAAATTATTTCAAAATGGAAATATTAAAATTAGCTTTTAATACTTATTTAAATTGATAAACTCATATTTTTTTACATTTTTCTTTTTTATCTTACAAAATATTTTAAATATACAGAAAGGTAAAGAGACTTAACCTATTTTTTCCCCAACTAATCTTAATATATTTTGTATTTCTTAAAGTAAATCTAAACTTTACAAATATAGCTTAAGTCCCCATATACTTTCCAGTTTCATTTCTCCCCCTTCCCAAAAGTACTCACTACTCAGGAGTATAATTCCTTCCTGTAAATGTTTTTAATCTTTTATTGCATGTGTATATAGCCATTAAAAATAATAGTATCGTTACTATACCACTCTATAAAAGTGATATCAAATGGTATGTATCCAACTGCATCTTATTTTCTTATCATTATGCTTTTGACATTTGTCAGTGTTTTTATATGTAATTCAAGTGTATTCATTTTAAATGATTTATGTTATTCATTGAATGCATATGCTAGTTTTTCTCCTGTTCATGGACATTGAGGTTCTTTTTATATATTTCCTATTTTAAATATTTTGCAGAAAGCATCCTTATACACTTTTGTGTGCATAAACAAGAGTTTCTCTAGGGTATGTCTTTAAATGGAATAGCTGGATGTGGGTAGTTATTGTAATTATAATGATAGGTAATGTTTACTGACTATCCTAAGTGAATTATATGTGTTTATTTAATCTTTAAAACAGTAAGTAAACACTATTATTATTAACATTTTACAGATGAATAAACTGAGCTATAAGATGGTTAAGCAAATTGTGCAAAATCCTATGGGTAGAAAATGTCAGAGCCCTGTTTCAACGGATGTAACAAACCTGTAGAGTGTATGCACACCTTCAACTCCTCCACATATTTCCATTTTGTTTTCCAAAGTGTTAACAATTTATAATCTCAATAGCCAATAGGAATTTTTTAAATTATTAACTTGTAAAATTAAAAAGCAACTCATCCATTAAATTTTGTTTGGGATATTTACAGACCTCTAAAATCTAAAAGTTTGAAAACCGCTTCCTTACATGGCACTGTTTAGGGGAACATCGTTTATAGAATCATAAGGCTGAAATCACCACTTCCTTACTTGACACTGTTTAGAAGAACATGCTTCTATAGGATTATAGGGCTGGGATCCTTGGTCTTTTAAATGCCCAGCTATAGGAGGTTTTCATGAATTCCTCTGGATCCTAACTGTTCTGTCAACCATCCAGGCTTTATAACCTTTTATTGTTCTAGTCTCTTCTTTACCTCCTCCCCAGTCTGCCATTCCCAATTCTTTACTCTGTCAGTAGTGCCTTATTCAGCCAATTGGCAAGTCTTATGCAGCCACCCATTGTAGAACCTCTCATCTGTCCTATTTCCAGGTTTGTATCACATCCTTTTTTGACAATATAATTAAAAACCTAAACTGGTCTTTTTCTCTGAAATCTCCCAGAATTGATTCATTTATACACTGCTACTTAAGTGATCTTCTTAATACAATTATTATATTATTCCTCTTTTTACAAACCATTAGTACTGTCTTATTGTATATCAAATTATAAAATCATCTACCATTTTTCTCTATAATCTTGCTTTCAACTTGTTGACCACCTTATCCCTAATTACTGCACTACATTCTGCCAGTGGAACACATGTAGATCTTGGGTAAAACTGAAGATTTTTCAACTCTAAGTTTTCAGGTGGTGCCGATACTACAGGTCCAGTCTGGATAACACACTCTGAGATTTGCTGCTCTAGTTGATCTGTAGGACCTGGCATGGGGTCTTATAAATGAGCTGATCATGACGTATATTTAATAGAATTAAATCCCATTTCTTAAGACTTAGAGAAACTGACTTTCAAAAGTATTCAATCCAGAAGAGATGGTTACTCTTAGTTTTGAAGAAAGTTTTAAACTTGCAGAAAAGTTACAAGAACAGTACAATGAACACATATATCTTTTATCTCTATTCACCAGTCATTTTCATTTTCTAATATTTACACATTGCATTGCTCTCTTTATGTTTGTATATGTAATTTTTTCTTTTTTTCTTTTTTTTTTTTTTTTTTTTGAGACGGAATCTCACTTTGTCCCCCAGGCTGGAGTGCTGTGGCGCAATCTCAGCTCACTGCAACCTCCACCTCCCCGGTTCAAGTGGTTCTTCTGCCTCAGCCTCCTGAGTAGCTGGGACTACAGGCACATGCCACCACACTGGCTAATTTTTGTAATTTTAGTAGAGATGGGGTTTCACCATATTGGCCAGGCTGGTCTCAAACTCCTGAACTTGTGATCTGCCCGCCTCAGCCTCCCAAAGTGCTGGGATTACAGGTGTGAGCCACAGCACCTAGCCACATACATACATTTTTCTCTTGAACTATTTGAAGGTAGCTTAGTGATACCAGGGCTTTACCCTAAATACTGATTGATACTGTTAACTAATTTACAATGTTCAAATTTTGTCTTCTGTTCTAATGATGTCCTTCATAGCTGGGTTTTTTTTTTTTTTTCCATTCCAGGATCCAATCCAAGATAATGCAGAAAATGTAGTTACAGGGAGATGTTTTGAGACTATGTAAATATCTCATTCCTCATCAAATTCGCACCCTTAGTTTGTTGTTGTTGTTGTTGTTTTGTTTTTTTGTGTTGTTTTTTTTTTTAATAGAGACAGAGTCTCACTCTGTAGCTCAGGCTGCAGTGCAGTGGCACGATCTCAGCTCACTGCAGCCTCCGCCTTCCGGGTCCTGGTTCAGTCAATTCTCCTGCCCCAGCCTCCCAAGTAGCTGGGATTATAGGCACATACCAACATGCCCAGCTAATTTTTGTATTCTTAGTATAGACAAGGTTTCGCCATGTTGGCCAGGCTGGTCTTGAACTCCTGACCTCGTGATCCACCCACCTCAGCCTCCCAAATGTTTTGTTTTTTAAATTAAACTTTAAGTTCTGGGATACATGTGCACAGCATCCAGGTATGTTACATAGGTATACACATGCTATGGTGGTTTGTTGCACTCATTAACCTCTCGTCCACATTAGGTATTTTTCCTAATGCTATCCCTCCCTTAGCCCCCCACCCCCCAATAGGCCCTGGTGTGTGATGTTGCCCTGTGTGTCCATGTGTTCTCATTGTTCAACTCCCACTTTTATGAGTAAGAATATGTGGTGTTTGGTTTTCTCTTATTGTGTTATTTTGCTGAGAATGATGGTTTTCAGCTTCATCCATGCCCTCCAAAGGACATGAATTCATCCTTTTTTATGGCTGCATAGTATTCCATGGTGTATATGTGACACATTTTCTTTATCCAGTCTATCATTGATGGGCATTTGGGTTGGTTCCAAGTCTTTGCTATTGTGAACAGTGCAGTGCTGCAGTAAACATATGTGTGCATGTGTCTTTGTAGTAGAATGATTTATAATCCTTTGAGTATATACCCAGTAATGGAACTCCTGGGTCAAATGGCAATTCTGGTTCTAGATCCTTGAGGAATTGCCACACTGTCTTCCATAATGGTTGAACCAATTTACACTCCCACCAACAGTATAAGAGCATTCCTGTATTCTCCACATCCTCTCCAGTATCTGTTGTTTCCTGACTTTTTAATGATCGCCATTCTAACTGGCATGAGATGGTATCTCATTGTGGTTTTGATTTGCATTTCTTTGGTGACCTGTGATGATGAGGTTTTCTCATGTTTGTTGGCCGCATAAATATCTTTCTTTGAGAAGTGTCTGTTCATATCCTTTGCCCACTTTTTGATGGGGTTGTTTATTTTTTTCTTGTAGATTTAAGTTCCTTGTAGATTCTGGATATTAGCCCTTTGTGAGATGGATAGATAACAAAAATTTTCTCCCATTCTGTAGGTTGCCTGTTCACTCTGATAGTTTTTTTTTGCTATGCAGAAGCTCTTTAGTTTAATTAGGTCCCATTTGTCTATTTTGGCTTTTGTTGCCATGGCTTTTGGTGTTTTAGTCGTGAAGGCTTTGCCCATACCTATGTCCTAAATGGTATTGCCTAGGTTTTCTTCTAGGATTTTTAATGGTTTTATGTCTTAAATTTAAGTTTTTAGTCTATATTGAGTTACTTTTAGTATAAGGTGTAAGGAAGGGGTCCAGTTTTAGCTTTCTGCATATAGCTAGCCACTTTTCCCAACACCATTTATTAAATAGGGAATCTTTTCCCCATTGGTTGTTTTTGTCGGGTTTGTCAAAGAGCAGATGGTTATAGATGTGTGATGTTATTTCTGAGGCCTCTGTTCTGTTCCATTGGTCTATATATCTGTGTTGGTACCAGTACCATGCTGTTTTTGTTACTGTAGCCTTGTACTATAGTTTGAAGTCTGGTAACATGATGCCTCCAGCTTTGTTCTTTTTGCTTAGGATTGTCTTGGCTATGTGGGCTCTCCTCTGGTTCCATATGAAATTTGAAGTAGTTTTTCTAATTCTGTGAAGAAAGTCAGTGGCAGCTTAATGGGGATAGCATTGAATCTATAAATTACTTTTGGCAGTATGGCCATTTTCACGATATTGATTCTTCCTACGAGCATGGAATGTTCTTCCATTTGTTTGTGTCCTCTCTTATTTCCTTGAGCAGTGGTTTGTAGTTCCACTTGAAGAGGCCCTTCACATCCCTTGTAAGTTATATTCCTGGGTATTTTATTCTCTTTGTAGCAATTGTGAATGGGAGTTCACTCATGATTTGGCTCTTTGTCTATTATTGATGTATAAGAATGCTTGTGATTTTTGCACATTGATTTTGTATCCTGAGATTTTGCTGAAGATGCTTGTCAGCTTAAGGAGATTTTGGGCTGAGATGATGGGGTTTTCTAAATATACAATCATGTCATCTGCAAATAGAGACAATTTGACTTCCTCTCTTCCTATTTAAATGTCCTTTATTTCTTTCTCTTGCCTGATTCCCTGGCCAGAACTTCAAATAGTATGTTGAATAGGAGTGGTGAGAGAGGGCATTCTTGTCTTGTGTCAGTTTTCAAAGGGACTGCTTCCCACTTTTGCCTATTCAGTATGAGATTGGCTGCGGGTTTGTCAGAAATTGCTCTTACCATGTTGAGATACGTTTCATCAATACCAGTTTTTTGAAAGTTTTTGGCATGAAGGGCTGTTGAATTTTGTCAAAGGCCTTTTCTGCATCTATTCAGAGAATCATGTGGTTTTTGTCATTGGTTCTGATTATGTGATGGTTATGTTTATCGATTTGTGTATGTTAAACCGCCCTTGCATCCCAGAGATAAAGCCTTGATCGTGATAGATAAGCTTTTTGATGTGCTGCTGGATTTGGTTTGCCAGTATTTTATTGAGGATTTTCACATTGATATTCATCAGGGTTATTGGCCTGAAATTGTTGTTGTTGTTGTTTTGTTGTTGTTGTTGTGTCTCTGCCAGGTTTTGGTAGGTATCAGGATGATGTTGGCCTCATAAAATAAGTTAGGGAGGAGTCCCTCTTTTTCTATTGTTTGGAATAGTTTCAGAAAGCATTACCAACTCCTCTTTTTACCTCTGGTAGAGTTCGACTGTGACTCCGTCTGGTCCTGGGCTTTTTTTGGTTAGTAGGCTATTAACTACTCCATCATTTTCAGAACTTGTTATTGGTGTATTCAGGGATTTGACTTATTCCTTATTTAGTCTTGGGAAGGTGTATGTGTCCAGGAATTTATCCATTTCTTCTACATTCTCTAGTTTGTTTGTGTAGTGGTGTTTATAGTATTCTCTGATGGTAGATTATATCTCTGTGGGAGCAGTGATGATATCCCCTTTATCATTTTTTATTGTGTGTATTTGATTCTTCTCTCTTTGCTTCTTTATTAGTCTGCCTAGTCGTCTATCTATGTTGTTAATCTTTTCAGAAAACCAGCTCCTGGATTCACTGGTTTTTTGAAAGGGTTTTCATGTCTCTATTTCCTTCACTTCTGCTCTGATCTTAGTTATTTCTTGTCTTCTGCTAGCTTTTGAATTTGTTTGCTCTTGCTTCTCTAGTTCTTTTAATTGTGATGTTAGGGTGTCAATTTTAGATCTTCCCTGCTTTCTCTTGTGGGGATTTAGTACTATAAATTTCCCGCTAAACGCTGCTTTAGCTATGTCCTGGATATTCTGGTATGTTGTGTCTTTTTTCTCCTTGGTTTCAAAGAACATCTTTATTTCTGCCTTAATTTTGTTATTTAGCCAGTAGTCATTTAGTAAGGGGTTTCAGTTTCCACATATTTTTGCAGTTTTGAGTGCATTTCTGATTCTGAGTTTTGATTTGATTGCATTGTGGTCTGAGAGACTGTTTGTTATGGTTTCTGTTCTTTTGCATTTGCTGAGGAGTGTTTTATTTCCAATTATGTGGTCAATTTTAGAATAAGTGCAATGTGGTGCCAAGAAGAATATATATTCTATTGATTTGGGGTGGAGAGTTCCTTAAATGTCTATTAGTTCTGCTTGGTCCAGAACTCAGTTTAAGTCCTGAATAACCTTCTTAATTTTCTGTCTCATTGATTTGTCTAATATTGACAGTGGGGTGTTAACATCTCCCACTATTACTGTATGGGAGTCTAAATCTCTTTGTAGGTCTCTAAGAACTTGCTTTATGAATATGGGTGCTCCTGTATTGGGTGCACATATATTTATAATTGTTAGCTCTTCTTGTTGCATTGATCCCTTTGCCATTATGTAATACCCTTCTTCATCTTTTTTATCTTTGTTGGTTTAAAGTCTGTTTTATCAGAGACTACGATTGCAACCCCTGCTTTTCTTTTTTTGTTGTTGTTGTTCCATTTTCTTGGTAAATCTTCCTCCATCCCTTTATTTTGACCCTATGTTTCTCTTTGGACATGAGATGGCTCTTCTGAATACAACACACCAATGAGTCTTGACTCTTTATCTAATTTGCCAGTCTGTGTGTTTTAATTGGGGCATTTGGCACATTCACATTTAAGGTTAATATTGTTATGTATAAATTTGACCCTGTCATTATAATGCTTGTTGGTTATTTTGCCCATTAGTTGATGCAGTTTCTTCATGTAAAGACCATGCAGTGTCAATGGTCATTACAATTTGGCATGTTTTTGCAGTGGCTGGTAAAGATTTTCCTTTCCATATTTAGTGCTTCCTTTAGGAGCTTTTGTAAGGCAAGCCTGGTGGTGACAAAATCTCTCAGCATTTGCTTGTCTGTAAAGGATTTTATTTCTCCTTCGCTTATTAAGCTTAGTTTGGCTGGATATGAAATTCTGGTTTAAAAATTCTTTTCTTTGAGAATGTTGAATATTGGCCCCCAACTCTCTTCTGGCTTATAGGGTTTCTGCCGAGAGATCTGCTGTTAGTCTGATGGGCTTCCCTTTGTGGGTAACCTGACCTTTCTCTTTGGCTGCCCTTAACATTTTTTCCTTCATTTCAACCTTGATGAATCTGACAATTATGTGTCTTGGGGTTGCCCTTCTCGAGGAGTATCTTTGTGGTGTTCTCTGTATTTCTTGAATTTGAATGCTGGCCTGCCTTGCTAGGTTGGACAAGTGCTCCTAGATAATATCCTGAAGAGTGTTTTTCAACATGGTTCCATTCTCCCCATCACCATCAGGTACTCCAATCAAACGTAGGTTTGGTCTCTTCACATAGTCGGATACTTCTTGGAGGCTTAGTTCGTTCCTTTTTATTCTTTTTTCTCTAATCTTGTGTTCACACTTCATTTCATTAAGTTGATATTCAGTCTTATATATCCTTTCTTCCTCTTGATTGATTCGGCTGTTGATACTTGGGTATGCTTCACAACATTCTCGTGCTGTGTTTTTCAGCTCCGTCAAGTCATTTATGTTCTTCTCTAAACTGGTCATTGTAGTTCGCAATTTGTCTAACCTTTTTTCCAGGTTCTTAGCTTCCTTGAATTGGGTTAGAATGTGTTCGTTTAGCTCAGAGGAGCGTGTTATTACTCACCTTCTGAAGCCTAGTGATGTCAATTCATCAAACTCATTCTCTGTCCAATTTTGTTCCCTTGCTGCTGAGGAGTTATAATCCTTTGCAGGAAAAGTGGTGTTCTGGTTTTTGTAATTTTCAGCCTTTTGTGCTGGTTTTTCCTCATCTTTGTGGATTTATCTACCTTTGGTCTTTGATGTTGGTGACCTTGGATGGGATTTTTATGATGCTGTTCCTTTCTGTTTGTTAGTTTTCCTTCTAACAGTCAGGACCCTCTGCTGCAGGTCTGCTGAATTTTGCTGGAGGCCCACTCCAGACCCTGTTTGCCTAGGTATCACCAGCAGAGCCTGCAGAACAGCAAGGATTGCTGTCTGTTTCTTCCTCTGGAAGCCTTGTCCCACTGGGGCACCCGCCATATGCCAACCAGAGCTCTCCCATATGAGGTTTCTGTCAAACCCTGCTTGGAGGTGTCTCCCAGTCAGGAGGCATGGGGGTCAGGGACCCACTTGAGGAGGCAGTGTATCCCTTATCAGAGCTCAAGTTCTATGCTGAGTGATCCGCTGCTCTCTTCAGATCCGGCAGGAGGGAATGTTTAAGTCTGCTGAAGCTGTACCTGTAGCTGCCCCTTCCCTTACATGCTCTGTTCCAGGGAGCTGGGAGTTTTATCCATAAGCCTCTGACTGGGGCTGTAGCCTGTTCTTCAGAGATGCCCTGCCCAGAGAGGAGGAATCTAGAGAGGCAGTCTGACTACAGCAGCTTTGAGGAGCTGTGGTGGACTCCGCCCACTTTGAACTTCCTGGTGGCTTTTTTTAAACTGTGAGGGGAAAACCCGCCTACTCAAGCCTCAGTAATGATGAGTGCTTCTCCCCACTACCAAGCTCAAGCATTTCAGGTCGACTTCAGACTGCTGTGCTGGCAGCAAGAATTTCAAGCCAGTGGGTCTTAGCTTCCTGAGCTTTGTGAGGGTGAGATCTGCTGAGCTAGACCACTTGACTCCCTGGCTTCAGCCCCCTTTCCATGGTAATGAATGGTTCTGTCTGGCTGGCATTCACAATGCCACTGGGATGTGAAAGAAACTCCTGCATATTGCTCGATGTCTTCCCAAACAGCCATCCAGTTTTGTGGTTGGAACCCAGGGCCCTGGTGATATAGGCACCAGAGGCAATCTCCTGGTCTGCGGGTTGTGGAGACCATAGAAAAAGCGTAGTATCTGGGTCAGAATGCACCATTCTTCATGGCACAGTTCCTCATGGCTTCCCTTGGCTAGGGGAGGGAGTTCTCTGACCCGTGTGCTTCTCGGTTTAGGCAGTGCCCCACCCTGCTTCGGCATGCCTTCTGTGGGCTGCAGCCACTGTCTAACCAGTCCCAGTGAGATGAGCCACGTACCTCAGTTGAAAATGCAGAAATCACCCACCTTCTGCGTTGCTCTCGCTGGGAGCTGCAGACCAGAGCTGTTCCTCTTCGGCCATGTTGCCAGCCATCCCCTGCATCCTTAGTTTTAGTATTCACTAATGATTTTCTAATTCTATCATTCCTTTTATATTTATAGTTTTGAATTCCACTCTAAAAAAGAGCTTTCCTTTGTTCCCCATGTATTTATTATGTCAATATAAACTCATGGAATCTTTTTTTATGAGGTGTAGTCTGTTTTTATCATTATTTCTTTTGTTGCTCAAAATAAATTATTTCATTTTTATTTGGTCAGTGGGAGCTCCTTCAAGCTGGCAATTTTTTTTTTTTTTTTTTTTGACAGTCTGTTTGTCAACCAGGCTGGAGTGGTGCAGTGGCACTATTTCGGCTCACTGCAAACTCCACCTCCTGAGTTCAAGCGATTCTTGTGGCTCAGCCTCCCAAGTAGCTGAGCCTACAGTCACGTACCACCATTCCTGACTAACTTTTTAATTTTTGTATAGATGGGGTTGTACCATGTTGGCCAGGCTGGTCTTGAACTTCTGACCTCAAGTGATCTACCCTCTGCCTTTCAAAGTGCTGGGATTATAGGCGTGAGCCACCACACCTGGCCCGTGTTCTTTTGATATGTTCCCATTATTATTTGTGCACTTCCTTGTTTTCTGATTTAACAAGATGTTCTAGGTTTATATTATACTTTTCTTTCCCAAGCCCGGAAATCACCCTTTTTTCTAAGGAGCTCTGGTTTCTTTAAGAGGAAAATCATATTTAGAAAATCAAGGGTGCTGGAAAGTGCTCAATCCTTTTGCTTCTTGTCTTTCTCGTAAACAGAGCTCAAGTTATACTGATAGTCTAAGTACAGTCCCACACTGCCGGGCCCATTTTTGTCTTTGCCCCATTCCATATTTAACTTTGTTCTCCAACAGTGAGAATACTTGCTTCTTTGCTGCTTTTTTTATTCTGGCAAATATATTATTTAAAAATTTATACATATTTATTGCAGGAAATTTTTAGCATAAAACAAAAAGAAGAAAAGAAAATTACCTGTATTCCCACCCAACAATAGCCACTGCAGAATATACTTCTATTCCTTTTTATTTTCTGAACATATATGTATAAAAGTATAGAAATCGTGTATTTTATACTTTTATTTTTTAAATGAGATTGTAAGTTAAATTGCTAAATGTAAAATCTTACACTTGTGTGGTATTTTTTCTCCTCTGCCACACTATCAGGAGTATGATTTCAGAGAATCCTTCTCTATCAGGTAGATATGGGCTTCATTACTTGCTTTGATTTGGAGGCTGAGAAATCTTGGGCAAGTTATTTCTGAGCCTCAGTTACCTTATCTGTAAGATGAGAGTAATAATAAATAATTTTATTATAAGATAATAATATACATAGATCACCAATTATAGACTTCTTAGCATGACAGGCAGTCAGCAAATTGTAACTATTTTGCAAATTATCAAAGCAGTTATTTACATGTGTAGATAAATAATTCATTAATAAATGTTCTATGTTGAATATATTGTACTAGATTAAAGCATTTTTGAGTGCAGGACTTGCGTTATTATATACTAGTAAATAAAAATGTTGCCTGGGTGCAGTGGCTCATGCCTGTAATTTCGACATTTCAGGAGGCTGACATGGGAGTATTAGCTGAGGTCAGGAGTTTGAGAGCAGTCTTAGGCAACATAGTAAGACACACCTGTCTCTACCAAAAAGAGAAAAAAATAGCCGAGCATGGTGGTATGCACCTGTAGTCCTAGCTACTCGGGAGGCTGAGGTGAGAGGATCTCTTGAGCCCAGGAGTTCGAGGCCGCAGGGAATTATGATTATAATCATGCCACTGCACTCAAGCATGGGTGACAGAGCGAGACCCTGTCTCTTTAAAAAAAAAAAAGATAAAAAGTTTGCAGTAGATCTCTTTAAAATAAATGGGCAATATGATAACACACATACATATTTATAACATATTTAAGGCAAAGCTGGTTGTACCTGCACTGCATATAAATCCATAAATTAGGAATCACGGTTTTATGTGCACCAAAAGATTGATGAATACATGTGTTATTTGCTGTCAGAATGTGCTGGATAAGCCTGTTTTTAGCTTTTTCGCTCGTAACAAGTAAGGAAAACATTGACTTTCCACAGGCAACCAAATATTTGTTTTGCTGCTACTTACTCGTTACTGTAGACTAAATAATTTCCTTGCCTTTAGCAGCATAAATATGGTTTTTAGTCCAGACTTTAGACACTTCGGCTTTAATTTTATGCCTGTGTGTATAATGCCACATGTGTGCCTGTATAATAAAATTGTGAATACTTTATCTTCTGTTGTATGGTGAAGAGACTCATTGTACTCAGGTATACAAAAATGATTCCAGAAGAAAAAGATAATGATATCTGCTAAAAGGAAAGGGAAAGGAGGAGAGTGCTGGCATGGAACAAAGAAATATAACTCTCCTAAAGAAAAAAGCAGACATTGAAACTCCTAAATGTTTAAAACAGGGCATTATGTATACTTTTCAATAAAATCTGGTGATAGCAGTGGTAAAATGTTTCATCAGTATGGCTGTACTCCTAGGTGAAAAAAAAGATGGAGACAAGGGAAAAAATGAAGTTAATGAATAAAACAAATGTTATCTCAGATCATGGCCCTGTATGTGTGCTACTAAGGAAAAATATAAGGATTTGCAAAATATATTTGTTTTCCATTTATTTTTATGAAGGAATTAAAGAAATTATCAGAAAATACTATAAGGGAACAAAGCATTTTAATAACTTTCAAACAGTGGCATGCTGATTTGTACTACAGTATGCAATGAAGTTCATTATATTTCAAAGTCAAGGATAGCTAAATCTGCTTCAGCCCCTTAGCATTCTATATTACCCTTATCTTACCATTTACAGCATGAAAGTCTAATGCTCTATTTACATGATGGTATATACCACTATGAGTTTCTGACAAACATGGCACATCTTGTTGGTAGTTCATTTATTTGACAAATACTTAGTCTATGTCTACTATGTGCCAGACACTCTTTTGGACAATGGATACATCATGTAACAACATATATACCTCTGCACCCATGAACCTTACATTCTACCTATATTTGCAAAGTTCCTAGCACATTGTAGATTTCCTCTCATGGTCATAAGATGTCTGCACCAGTTGTAAGCATCGCATCCTTGCAGAACAGCATCCAATGCAGGAAGGAAAAATTAGAAGCAAAAGGGCTTTCCCCTTTTGGGCCTTTCTCGTCATAGGAAAGAAAATCTTTCACAGAACCCTCAAACATCTGACCTGGACAAATCACTGGCGAAGAGTGGAATTT